GAGGCCCAGTTTCTTAGTCCCATTTTCTCTAGGTTAACTCTCGTGACTACAAGGAAGCTGCCCCATATAATATCCTTGGTTTACAGTCAGAAGAGAATAGAGACGGTTCTACTTGGACTAGCTTAGACCAGGTGCGTGACCCTCAAAGCTCTGTGGTGTATGTGGCATGTGATACCCAAGTGGACCTAGACCTGGAATTCACACACACACACACACACACACACACACACACACACGTGTCCTGACAAAGAGATGGCTTTGCCAAGAACTGTGAAGTGTCTCAGATTTTCCCCAACTTCAAATTAAAGTTAGCCTGCCACAGTTTTATGGGTGTTGACGGAAGACATGAGATGCTGGGGTCAGAGACTATGTCAGTGGTCCCCAAGACCACCCCCCAGTCCAATGATTCCACAGGAGGCTTCACGGGACTCAGCAGATGGTCGTTCTAATGACTATGATATTACAGTGAGAGGATACAGTGGAGGGAAAGGCAGTGGGGCGAGTGCAGACGTAACCAGGCTCAGGCTGCCAAGAGTCCTCACCCGGTGGCCACAGGACACCCTTTCTTTCCCCAGGAATGAGCTGTGAAATGCATGTGAAATGTTGCCAGCCAGGGAAGCTCCCGAGAGCCTCCGCGACCAGGGTTTCTACTGGGGCTCATCATGTAGGCAGCCTCCGCGGGGCATATACCAAAATCCCAGACTCTCAGAAGGAAAGCCTGCATTCAGCACGAGTCACATGGTTTGTACAAATAGCGTAGGCACACCAAGCCTTCTTGTCAACTCTGGGGATGGTAGGGACCCTCCCCAGATGCAAGCTCCCCCACAACAACCAAAGGCCAACCTTGCGAGGATATCCTAATGTTCTAATATCCTAAGGGTATCAGTCAGGCCACTGTGTCAACTCTCATGCACAGAGACAAAAGACTTAATTCCAGCATCACAGAGTTTAGGCTTCATATTGCAAAAGTGGGCACCTGTGGGCACATAGTGGGCTTGTGTCAAAGCCAGAGACCCCTGAGAGTAGGAGAAACCCCCATCCATTTCAAAGGGCTGTGTGCAAACCTGACCGAGCTTCACCTCAGAGGGAGATGACATCTTTATTACATTGGGCAGCGAACAAACTTGCCCTCTGCTCTGCAGGGAGACACAGTGTCTATCTTGCAAAGGTGTTTGCTGCAGACATCCTTGAAGTGATGGTCCAGAGCTAAATGCTATCAACGCCTCTGCTCAGAGCACATGAAGAAACGCAAGAGAACCCTGGAGAACTGTGCCCCAGCAGGAGCCCCTAGAAAAGGCAGGGAAGATGTGGAAGATGGAGGGGCTGCTGCAGGCAGGCACCAAGATGTGTTTACTCCAGCGGGCAAAATTCTCTCTTACACATCATAGTAACAGCACATCTGTATTAAGTGGCTAATACAGCCCAGACACTGTTCTAATGCTTTAGATGGTTTAACTCATTCAGTGCTTCATAAGTGACGTAGTCT